ACCACGTGTCGGATCGTACTGGATCATCATTACGGCGAGTACAGGCAGAGTGAGCCAGCGCTCCTGTGAGGCTGATCATTACCACAATCAGCGGCTTATGTTACAATACATGCGTATATATTTCTGAAATCATGTGAGTGCAATATGAGAGCACATTAAAGAGCATTCGTATATACCTTGGATAAGGCACCATATTTCTTTTGTTCTTTTCTCTTATGGGTCACATGAGGATATACTGAGCATTGGAGTGAGCAGAGCTTCAAGGAGGGGAAAATCCTTGGGCTTGTACAGGCTCAGAAGATACCTTGTAGATCTATATTCACACCATCACAAGCAGCTTGAAAGGAGAGTATACTATCAACACTTTATACCTGCTGAACTTTTTTTAAAAAAATTTTTTTGTGCAAAAAAATTTTTTATGCACCATTTTGTGGTTGAACTTTTAATTTATATATATATATATATATATATATATTTTTTTTTTTTTTTCTATTGTAATTATTTTTGATTAATTTTTTATTTTTACATTTTTTTTTTATATATTTTTTTTCTCTGATTTGTTTCATGCACTATTCATCTCATTTTACTAATTTATTGAGTTTGAAAGTAATATTTTAAAGTAGTGTTTCATGCACTATTTTGCACATGCACTATTTTGCACATCTCATTTTTATTAATTTATTGAGTTTAAAAGCAACACTTTAAAGATATAATTTTAGTTTTTGCACATTTGCACAGTGAACTTTATGAATTGATTTATTTATTAATTTTTTAAAAATTAACATTATTGGATTTAATTATATTTTTTTTTTTTTTTTTTTATTTTATATGGTGATGATTTATGGATTAATTTTTGATAAGTGAACAGTATCGCAGTATAGATTAATTAGCAGCATTTTTTATATATATTATTAACGCGGTAATATTAGAGCGCGGTTAATAATTTGTTATTCTCATGTAATTCACACCTTATGAGGGTGAGAAAAATTCCGGCGATCTAATATACTGTATTTGAAACTCCAGTGGCTCACAGGTCCATCTAAATAATACTTGTCTAAATTAACATATCTTTTGTTTCCAAGGGTGGGAGAGGTCTGAGGTGTGAATTGGTCATTACAATGTGTGACAAGCTTGGTAGGAACATCCTGTATTCAGTGTTTTGTCCATCTGAGTACCTTGAAATCGCTTTGCATGCATTTTTCAGGATGAAAAAAGGCTCTGGACAGCATCGGGAACTGGAAGAGTTAAAAACGAATTTCAAACGTAAACGCTTATTATTATTATTATTATACAGTATTTATAAAGCGCCAATAGTTCGCTCAGCACTGTACATTACAAAGGGGGACAGAACATGTGACAGAACAATACAATACAATGCAAAACATGAGGGGATGGAGGGCCCTGCTCTTTCGAGCTTACAATCTAGGAGGAGGGAGGGGATGGTGGTACAGGAGGAGATAGCTGTGGGGGATGGAGTGGTAGGAAGAGTCGAGGAGGTCGGCAAGTTAGCAGGGGGTGGGGTAGGCTTCCCTGAAGAGGTGGGTTTTCAGGGTGCGCCTAAAGGAGAGGAGAGTAGGTGATAATCTGATGGGTTGGGGCAGGGAGTTCCAGAGGATGGGTGACACCCTGGAGAAGTCCTGGAGGCGGGCATGGGAGGAGGAGACCAGGGAACTAGAGAGAAGGAGGTCTTGTGAGGAGCGGAGTGTGCGTGCTGGGTGGTACTTTGATATTAGGTCAGTGATGTAAACCCGATTTATCGAGTTTAGCTGCGTTTACAAGCGTTTTGTGTTTGAAATGCTGATAAAATCAAATGCTGAACGCACGTTTTAAAAAAAAAAAAAAACGACTGAAATGCCTGTAAATGACTGTAAAGGACGATGTGTACATGGACACATTAGGAGAACATTAGGGAGGGTTCAGGGGCTGCTGAAAAAAACGCAGAAAAGCTCCTAAACGTGAATTTATCAGCTGCAGTGTAAATGAGCCCTAATAGTGTTTGGGAAGCTCCGCTACTGCCTTGTCTTACTATTTGAATGGAGAGCTTTAAAGTGTATCTGTAGCCACAAGATGAAGGCTCCCGATTCCTATCCCTTGGGGGCCACATGGAAGCCACGGGACAAACATGCAACTCCTTTCCAGCACCAGGATGTATGCAATGATGGCTCCTACATGATTAGACAGGTTTATTGTATGTTATTATATAATACAAAATATGTAAAGAAAAGACTCCACCAACACTCTCTAAGCCTTGATATCCATCTATATAAGTATCTGATTATCCAATCAATGCAACCAGTTTGAATCAGATACAAGCTCAGCATGAAAAACATACCACCTTAAGAATCATTTTTGATTGAGATACGTGGATTGGATGGTTCAGAAATTGTATTGATTGCATCCTGCATCTGAGAACTGATCGTAGCTGCCAAGTGATTATGCAAATCGTTGCTTTGAGAATCGACTGACAGTAAGAATGGTATTAGCGAGTTAAATCATTTAAAGCTGAAGTTTATTCCACTTATATTTCGCCTCGGTTCCTCCCTCCTCTTGCGAACTCCCGTATGTAAATTGACTGCACTGTATGGGCTTAGATGGCTGGACAGGTACAGAAAAAGACTGTGGATTCTGTAAGGGTCGGACCGGTTACATGACGTGAGAGCAGACGGAAGTGTCTGAGATATGACCTTAATCTTTATGTCTGCTCATTACATCAGAAGTGTCACGTTCCCCGAGGATTATTCTTGACGTTCGCTGTAACAGGACCGACACCCCTGATCTCCGACTCTCTCCTTCGATGTGTCCGCTGTCAACGCTTTCCTACTGAGAACACATGATGAATGAATGTTCACCTCTCCTCTTCCGCTAACATATTCTTAATTAAAGCGGAGTAATGTCTTGTGCATCGTAGGCAGCACAGCAACGCATATGGCAATCGATAAAGGCCACGCACAGTTCCCCGAGCTAGCACTGACTCTCATCCTTCTATATGTAAATTCTTCACGTTGTTTGTTTCAGGTGCAGTACATTGCTCAGAGCAACGTATTTGTTTTAGATCAGTATTGTTAAAGAGCTCCCTTACAGGATGGTCAGTAGAAAAGGGCATCTTTAGACTGGTGGTCGGTGGGAGAGGACCATCTTACATTGGTGATTAATGGAAGACTGATTCCTTTACACCGGTGATCAGGAAAGAAGAGGCCAATTGCATTGGTGGTCAGTGGGAAGAATGCTCCTTACATTAGTAGTCAGGGAAGGACACCTTTAGATTGGTGGTCAGGAGGAAAAGGACCACCTTACATTGGTGATTATTGGATGACTGACCCCTACACTGGTGATCAGGGAAAAAGAAGCCTATTACATTGGTGGTCAGTGGGAAGAATGCTCCTTACATTAGTAGTCAGTAGGGAAGGACACCTTTAGATTGGTGGTCAGGAGGAAAAGGACCACCTTACATTGGTGATTATTGGATGACTGACTGACCCCTACACTGGTGATCAGGGAAAAAGAAGCCTATTGCATTGGTGGTCAGTGGGAAGAATGCTCCTTACATTAGTAGTCAGTAGGGAAGGACACCTTTAGATTGGTGGTCAGGAGGAAAAGGACCACCTTACATTGGTGATTATTGGATGACTGACCCCTACACTGGTGATCAGGGAAAAAGAAGCCTATTGCATTGGTGGTCAGTGGGAAGAATGCTCCTTACATTAGTAGTCAGTAGGGAAGGACACCTTTAGATTGGTGGTCAGGAGGAAAAGGACCACCTTACATTGGTGATTATTGGATGACTGACCCCTACACTGGTGATCAGGGAAAAAGAAGCCTATTGCATTGGTGGTCAGTGGGAAGAATGCTCCTTACATTAGTAGTCAGTAGGGAAGGACACCTTTAGATTGGTGGTCAGGAGGAAAAGGACCACCTTACATTGGTGATTATTGGATGACTGACCCCTACACTGGTGATCAGGGAAAAAGAAGCCTATTGCATTGGTGGTCAGTGGGAAGAATGCTCCTTACATTAGTAGTCAGTAGGGAAGGACACCTTTAGATTGGTGGTCAGGAGGAAAAGGACCACCTTACATTGGTGATTATTGGATGACTGACCCCTACACTGGTGATCAGGGAAAAAGAAGCCTATTGCATTGGTGGTCAGTGGGAAGAATGCTCCTTACATTAGTAGTCAGTAGGGAAGGACACCTTTAGATTGGTGGTCAGGAGGAAAAGGACCACCTTACCTTGGTGTGGTCACTGGCTATCAGGGAAAAAGAAGCCTATGGCATTGGTGGTCAGTGGGAAGAATGCTCCTTACATTAGTAGTCATAGGGAAGGCACCTTGCATTGGTGGTCAGGAGGAAAAGGACCACCTTACATTGGTGATTACTGGATGACTGACCCCTACGCTTGTGATCAGGGAAAAAGAAGCCTATTGCATTGGTGGTCAGTGGGAAGAATGCTCCTTACATTAGTAGTCAGTAGGGAAGGACACCTTTAGATTGGTGGTCAGGAGGAAAAGGACCACCTTACATTGGTGATTATTGGATGACTGACCTCTACACTGGTGATCAGGGAAAAAGAAGCCTATTGCATTGGTGGTCAGTGGAAGAATGCTCCTTACATTATGCTCCTTGCATTGGTGGTCAGTGAAAAGGACCACCTTACATTGGTGATTAATGCTGACCTCTACACGATCAGGGAAAAAGAAGCCTATTGCATTGGTGGTCAGTGGGAAGAATGTACATTGGTAGTCAGTAGGGAAGGACACCTTTAGATTGGTGGTCAGGAGGAAAAGGACCACCTTACATTGGTGATTACTGGATGACTGACCCCTACGCTTGTGATCAGGGAAAAAGAAGCCTATTGCATTGGTGGTCAGTGGGAAGAATGCTCCTTACATTAGTAGTCAATAGGGAAGGACACACACACAGACATGTATACACACACAGGCACGAACAGACACGCATACACACAGATACATGTACATACACAGAAATACACAAGCACAGACACATGTACATACAGACAGATGTACGTACATACACACACACACACACACACACATGTACATGCACACACAGACACATGTACACACACACATACATGTACATAAACACAGACACATGTACAATTGTACATGCATACACAAAACACACACACATGTAAAAGTACACACACGCACACACACCACCCCCCCCATAAAAAGTTGCAGTACTTCGATGTTCACTCACAGAGCTGGGTACTGCAATCTAGGGGGAGGCAGAGAGCACAGCACACACTCCTTTCTTTGCTTTCCCTACGCTCAGCTATTGAGCAGTCTGACGGCTCCCAGTGCCAATGACAGATCCGGCCTGAGCTCTGAGCCTGCTCAGCAAGACGGCCCTGGGGGACACACTCGCCCCCACCATAATTTCCACTCGCCATTGGCGAGCAGGCGAGTGGAAATTTCAATTTCCTGGGTTACATATTCTTTAAGTCATTTTATGGCCAAGCTTTTTACACGTGTGCAAAAATATGAAAAAGGTTCTCTAGTGCTGAAGTAGTTAAATATCAGACAACTTGGAGAGTGAGTATTGGGCACTCCACGACAAGCTGTATGTTGTCTAACAGCTCAATTACTTTCTTTCGGACATACGGTATATTATTTTCAGCCCCTGTAATCACACACAAGGCTGCATTTATATCCGTGGATCCATAATTGCGCCATACCTCAGCTGGGTAAGTGTTCTAGAACTTCCTAGGCAAGCAAATGGACCTTCTTTTGATATTTGGTTTGACATCTATATAATTTTCATGTACATATGCAGCTTTTAGCGGTGCTGATCAGCCAAGGTAGCTCTAATTTCAGTTCAGTGAAAGAAAGTGTCAGATTTATCTGCATTGTTGTTGTTGTTTTTTTTTTTTTTTTTGTTGTTTTTTTTTGTTTTTCTTTTAAGGGTGATGCGGCGATGGCCTTTTGAGAAATATGCATATCTGGTAAAATATTTAAAAAAAAAACAGTTTACACAAAAAAAAAAACTCAATTGAGGTATATTTACTGTAGTTCCCTATGATAATTTGTCATTTTTAAAGCTAAAAATTCAAAAAGAGACAACTAAAGGTACTGTGACCAAAACATGGGGTTCTCTCTTCAAGTTTCGATACATTTCATTGGTAGGACCAAATAAACATTGGCATAGCAAAAGCAATTGAAGAATAATTATGGGTTGGATGGGGGAGGGTGTAAAAGTCCTAGACAGGGGCGGACTGACAACTCATGGGGCCCCCGGGCAATAGGGGATCATGGGGCCCGTGTCCTTGCCCAAACTCAAAAAAGCCTATGAAAAAGGTACCAGGGGCTTCTCATGGTGCCCCCTACTGACCCCGGGCCCTTGGGCAGCGCCCGAGTTTCCAAATGGTCAGTCCGCCCCTGGTCCTAGATCATTATCAGGAGTAATGGATAAATTAAAGTGAATATGAGTGGAGTCTAGGAATATTATTAGCAGGGCTTTTTTTTCCAGAAGAAACGTGGGGGGACGCAGTTCTAGCACCTCCAGCACTGAATATATGTAATGGGAAGGGCTGGTGGGGCTGCAGGGCGATCTATTGTCACTGGTGGGGGGTCTATTGTTGCTGGGGTTCTATGTTTCTTGGGGTGTCAATTGGTGCTGAGAGCGATAAACTGTTAAGGTATGCGTTTATTGTTGCTGGGGGGATCTATTGTTACTGAGAGATCTATTGTTACTGAGAGGTCTATTGTGGCTGGGGCGATCTGGGAGGTCCGCTTTTTCCAGGGGGCATCTATTGTTGCTGGGGCATCTAGTGTTGATGAGCCTTCTGTTTTTGCTGGAGGGGGGGGTCTATTGTTGCAGGGGGCATCTATTGTTGCTGGGAGGATCCATTGTTGCTGGGTCATATAGTGTTGCTGGGCCATCTATTGTTGCTGAGGTGGTAATAGTTACTGAGAGGTCTATTGTAGCTGGGGCGATCTATTGCTGCTGGGAGGTCTGGTTTTGTTGGGGGGCATCTATTGTTGTTGGGGCATCTATTGTTGTTGGGGCATCTGGTGTTGTTGTGGCATCTAGTGTTGCTGGACCGTCTGTTTTTCCTGGAAGGGGGGTCTAGTGTTGCAGGAGGCATCTATTGTTACTGGAGGGATCCATTGCTGCTGGGTGGATCCATTGTTGCTGGGTCATCTAGTGTTGCTGGGCCATCTATTGTTGCTGAGGGGATCTATTGTTGCTGGGTCATCTAGTGTTGCTGGGCCATCTATTGTTGCTGAGGGGATCTATTGTTGCTGGGTCATCTAGTGTTGCTGGGCCATCTATTGTTGCTGGGTCATCTAGTGTTGCTGGGCCATCTATTGTTGCTAAGGGGATCTATTGTTACTGAGAGATCTATTGTAGCTGTGGCATTCTATTGCTGCTGAGAGGTCTGCTTTTGTTGGGGGGCATCTATTGTTGTTGGGGCATCTAGTGTTGCTGGACTGTCTGTTTTTCCTGGAAGGGGGGTTTATTGTTGCAGGGGGCATCTAGTGCTGCTGGGGGTATCCATTGCTGCTGGGGGGATCCATTGTTGCTGTGCCATCTATTGTTGCTGAGGGGATCTATTGTTACTGAGAGGCCTATTGTGGTTGGGGTGATCTGGGAGGTCCGCTTTTGCCAGGGGGCATCTATTGTTGCTGGGGCATCTAGTGTTGATTGGCTGTCTGTTTTTGCTGGAGGGGGGGGGTCTATTGTTGCAGGGAGCATCTATTGTTGCTGGGGGGATCCATTGTTGCTGGGTCATCTAGTGTTGCTGCAGGGGTCTATTGTTACTGAGAGGTCTATGTGGCTGGGGCAATTTATTGCTGCTGGGAGGTCTGTTTTCTGCAGGGGGGCATCTAGTGTTGCTGGACCATCTGTTTTTGCTGGGGGGGGGTCTATTGTTGCAGGGGGCATATATTGTTGCTGAGGGGATCTATTGTTACTGAGAGGTCTTTGTGGCTGGGGCGATCTATTGCTGCTGGGAGGTCTGTTTTTGCAGGGGGGCATCTAGTGTTGCTGGACCATCAGTTTTCTTCTGGGGGGGATCTATTATTGCAGGGGGAATCTATTGTTGCTGGGGGATCTATTGTTGCTGTGTCATCTAGTGTTGCTGGGCAATCTATTGTTGCTGAGGGGGCCTATTGTTGTAGGGGGATCCATTATTGCTGGGTCATCTATTGTTGCTGAGGGGGTCTATTGTAGGGGGGGATCTGTTGTTGCAGTAGGAGTTTATGGTTGTTGGCTGCAGGGGATCTATTTTGCTGCTTTTCTTGTCATCATTAATACATTTCATACAAGTTATTTAGCACCACAAAATTAGATTTGGCTCTGCATTCTCTAATAGGGACGGTACTGGGAGGTGCGTAGGGGGTGGAACCAAGGGACGGTGCTCGGAGGCGGGTAGGGAGCAGAAACAAGAGATGACTTGGAAGAGGGGAGTTCCTGAACCCATTCTCTGAGAAAAAAATCCCTGATTATTAGGGTAGGGGGGATAGGGGTCATGTCCAAGTAGGGGGTATACTGTATATGGTCAAGCTATTTAATGCCCTCCTCAGTTTGTGGCATGCTGTAACATATTGAGGTTGATAGAAATGAAAGTGCGGTGGCTCCAGGGCTTAGCAAATAAGGAGATGCTCTGCTGAATTCCATCATCCAATCATGTGCAAGCAAAAAAAGTGTTCTCTTTTTTAAATTTTCCTTGCATGTGATTGGGTATTCTTTGCAATGCGAAGCTTCGTCTCAATTATTTAGCTCTGGAGCAACTGCACTTGCAAAGTCTTTTTGCCTGTAGTAAATCCACTGTTTCTTTCTCATTATCTTAACACTACACTGCAGCTGAACACACAGGTCTAGCTATGACCATGTTGAGTAAAGGCAGATGATTCAGGTAGCATTTTCTTCCTGGAATCCAACTGCCCTTATCTCATGCATGCAGGCATGAGGGTGTGCTTAGCTGAAAAAAAAGCCCCTCCTACCCTCCTCCCATGAAGACTCTTGGGATGTTAACAACACTATCATCAGTCCCTCCCCTCATGCCAGGGTACAAGGTGTAAACCTAGACTCCAACCTGTCCTTTCAGCCCCAGGTCCAATCGCTGACAAACTCGTGTAGACTTCACCTCTGTAACATCTCCAAGATACAACTGTTCCTAACCTCGGAAACTACCAAGCAATTCATTCACTCCCTTATTATATCACGCCTTGACTACTGTAACTCCCTCCTCACTGGTCTCTACCTCATCGCAGGCTATCCCCTCTTCAGTCCATCATGAATACTGCTGCCAGACTTATCCACCTTACTAAACGTTGTGTATCTGCCACCCCTCTCTGGCAATCCCTCCACTGGCCTCCACTCAGTGTCCTCCACCCCTCTCTGCCAATCCCTCCACTGGCCTCCACTCAGTGTCCTCCACCCCTCTCTGCCAATCCCTCCACTGGCCTCCACTCAGTGTCCTCCACCCCTCTCTGCCAATCCCTCCACTGGCCTCCACTCAGTATCCTCCACCCCTCTCTGCCAATCCCTCCACTGGCCTCCACTCAGTATCCTCCACCCCTCTCTGCCAATCCCTCCACTGGCCTCCACTCAGTGTCCTCCACCCCTCTCTGCCAATCCCTCCACTGGCCTCCACTCAGTGTCCTCCACCCCTCTCTGCCAATCCCTCCACTGGCCTCCACTCAGTATCCTCCACCCCTCTCTGCCAATCCCTCCACTGGCCTCCACTCAGTATCCTCCACCCCTCTCTGCCAATCCCTCCACTGGCTTCTAATTGCCCAACAGATAAAATTCTAAACACTAACACTGACGTATGAAGCTGTTCATAACGCCCCCCCAAAATTACATCACCGATCTTGTCTCTAAATATCACCCAAACCGTACTCTCCGCTCCTCGCATGACCTCCTACTCTCTAACTCCCTTGTCTCCTCCTCCCATGGTCGTCTACAGGATTTCTCCAGGGCTTCTCCCATCCTCTGGAACTCCATACCCCAATCTATCAGACTATCGCCTACTCTGCTCACTTTTAGGCGCACTCTGAAAACCCATCTCTTCAGGGAAGCCTATCCTGACCCCAGCTAATACTGGAATCCTCTACTCTTCCAACCACTCCATCCCCCACAGCTAATTACCTTTTGTACCACTAGCCCCTCCCTCCTAGACTGTAAGCTCCTAGGATCAGGGCCCTCTAATCCCTCTTGTATTGAACTGTATTGTTGCTGTATTGTCTCACTCCATATTGTAAAGCGCTGAGCAATCTGTGGGCGCTATATAAGTCCGGTATAATAATAATAATAATAATAATAATGTATGGCATCATTTTGGCCTAGGCCAGAAACCAGGAAGTAACTAAAAAAAAAAAACAGTTTAAGATAAGTAAATATATACCTTCTTATCTATTAGTATTACTAATGGTAGCAGCATAAGGATTAAAAATAGTCAATGAGGATTGAGAGAGTGAAGTTCTGCTTTAACATATCAAAACCAAAAATAGTGAAGCGCTAAAATGAATCCCTAAATACACACATAGTGCATATAATATTAAGTGAAAACCATACCTCATAAATAAATTATATCCGTGACATAAAAAAATATCAATATAAAACAAAATATATAAGGAAAAACTTTTCCTTGCCCTTAAATTAATTCTTCAAATCAAACATTAATAAAAAATAAAAAATCCATAATATTGCGAATAAACAGTGATGAAAAAAAAAAATATATATAAAAAACTGTGTTAATTAACATATATATATATATTTGTGATTATTTCTAATAATAAATGTGACAACCTAACAGAATAAAAAATATAAAAAAATGTGAATCTCAATCAAATGTACGTGATTATTGTGAAAAAACCATATATTAAACTATTACATAAAAAAATCACTAAAACTTGTGATATTTCAAATATGAAAAAGTGTCCATAAATGAACAAACACAGTCCATGCAGTAAGGTGAAAATGACACTCAGTGTTCTTCACTTCTAGTGCTCATAAAAAAGAAAGGGAAGAAATCCTCCAATGGCAGCAATGCCTGCTCACCTCCCCAACTCGACCCGCAAAGGGCCACAAGGCTATAACTCTCCTCCAGAAAATCGTTTGCTTCCAAGCAGCTCAGTAAGGAATCACAGGACCTCCTCTCCACCTCCTCTCAAACGTCATATAGGACACAAACAGAGCTTCCCATAGTGTAATACCATTTGTTTATTTAAGACACTCCATATAACAAACTGTTTCCACTCACATGCGTTTGGTTAATAAAATGCAGTCCTCCTCATTCCCTGGGTGCATTCACATGTAAAGAGGGAAACCAATATGGTCGCTGTGCTCGGACATCCGTGGGTCACGTGGGGACGGATGTCCGAGCACAGCGACCATATTGGTTTCCCTCTTTACATGTGAATGCACCCAGGGAATGAGGAGGACTGCATTTTTATTAACCAAACGCATGTGAGTGGAAACAGTTTGTTATATGGAGTGTCTTAAATAAACAAATGGTATTACACTATGGGAAGCTCTGTTTGTGTCCTATATGACGTTTGAGAGGAGGTGGAGAGGAGGTCCTGTGATTCCTTACTGAGCTGCTTGGAAGCAAACGATTTTCTGGAGGAGAGTTATAGCCTTGTGGCCCTTTGCGGGTCGAGTTGGGGAGGTGAGCAGGCATTGCTGCCATTGGAGGATTTCTTCCCTTTCTTTTTTATGAGCACTAGAAGTGAAGAACACTGAGTGTCGTTTTCACCTTACTGCATGGACTGTGTTTGTTCATTTATGGACACTTTTTCATATTTGAAATATCACAAGTTTTAGTGATTTTTTTATGTAATAGTTTAATATATGGTTTTTTCACAATAATCACGTACATTTGATTGAGATTCACATTTTTTTATATTTTTTATTCTGTTAGGTTGTCACATTTATTATTAGAAATAATCACAAATATATATATATATATGTTAATTAACACAGTTTTTTATATATATTTTTTTTTTCATCACTGTTTATTCGCAATATTATGGATTTTTTATTTTTTATTAATGTTTGATTTGAAGAATTAATTTAAGGGCAAGGAAAAGTTTTTCCTTATATATTTTGTTTTATATTGATATTTTTTTATGTCACGGATATAATTTATTTATGAGGTATGGTTTTCACTTAATATTATATGCACTATGTGTGTATTTAGGGATTCATTTTAGCGCTTCACTATTTTTGGTTTTGATACTTTAATACTTATTGGTTAAGGCAGAGTGTTAGCAGCTGTTAGGATAGGGACTTACCCATACTAAGCGCAGGAGGATATTTCCATTTGAAGTTCTGCTTTAAGCTGACCATAGTTGGGTCAAAAGTTGAATGAAAAAAATAAAAAAGACCTTATTCCCCCATCCACACAATGGATAAGGATAGGGGAATCGATAATCTTACAAGCTAAAAGAGAAGCCTCGAGTTTTTACATCGCTCTGATGATGTTGTTAGACAGCCGTTAACTTCCCTTTATGATTGAAATACGGGGGCAATGACAAGCTGCTTTGAGAACTTCTGGTAATAAAAGGATAGACAGATGGGAATCGCCAGAATAATTGGAAGGGAATGCACACTATGCTGCGTGGAATTCCCGCGGTGATTTTGTGGTTTTTGTGCTTCTGCAGGAAACAAAGAGTCTTGGCCATGAATGGGACTTGGACACAGTGAATAAACTCATTTTGGACCGCTTCCTGGGCCAAGCATATTTCTCTCTTAATAAACATTCCGGTTACATCTTTTGGAGACCAAATTTAAAGGAAATCCTCGATAAAGCCTCTTCTTCTGTTTACTGTTTTGTAAAACAAACAATAATCGCTGAGGTCTACGTACAAGAAACATTCTGGGAATGGGGTGCCAAATCTTTTAGAAAGCATGGGACATAAGAAAAAAAAGCCTATGCCCAGGCTGAAGAGCCTCCTCGTTATTTTATGGGAGATAGTGCCCTTATGCCCTTCTCACCCAGGCGCAGTGTCCTTTCAAAGAGGTCAACAGGTCTATGCCCAGGTGGTAAGAAGGTCTGCCTTAGTGCCCCCATTCCTGAACCACACCAAGATAGATGCCCTCGACATGGGGGGGGCCCATGTTGATGGGGACAAGGGCCTCTTCCCCACAACCCTGACAATCACGTCCAGGGGGACCAGAAGTTGGTCCCCCTAACTCCCGATCAGTACCAACGACAAGAAGCTGTCTTTCTGAGCTTGGCCGCTGTGCCGGGAAAGCACTCATGGCACAAAAATCTCATAGGAAGGTTGATTATCGGTAGAGTTTGGCCCCGCAGGCCAAATGTTTTCATACTTGGCAGGACAGTTTCTACTTGTGTATGTCAATTGGTGCATGGTAAAAAACATTTGGAATAGTTGTACACCAGTTCCCGTAGGAGGGGGAGAATTGGAGTTTCCACGTAAGCAGTATCTCACCTAGCATAGTAAGATGCATAGGAAATAAGAAGTCTAAAACCCATTTCTAGGTAAAAGATGCAGTGGGGCGTCGCATTACACTGATTTGCTCTGTGCAATGGTTGTGCACAGAGCAGCCCTAATACTCTTTCTTTTGGATCCCCCTCCCATCAGTCCTGGCTCCTCCCCCGTGCTGAGTGCCCCAAATGCCCCCCAATAGCAAACTTCTTGAGCCACGCTCCTGTGAATGTACAGTTGTGTTCAAAATAATAGCAGTCAGACATCACTAAACGGATCAATCACTGTTTTTGGTAGAAATGATATTTCTACATGGCAAATAATTTCCTAGCAGGTGTAGTAGAGTAATATAAATCCAACAGACCCAACAGTCATGACATGCATGCTGCTGATTCTGTGTAATTGAATCACTCATTGAAAGGGGCGTGTTCAAAATAATAGCAGTGTGGAGTTCTATTAGTGAGGTCATTCATTCTTTGAAAAACAGGCAGCAATTATTGCCCTTATTTAAGGAAGGAAGGCAGCAAATGTTGTACATGCTGGTTACAGTGCATTTCTGTCTGAAATTCTGAGGAAAATGGGTCGTTCCAGATATTGTTCAGAAGAACAGCGTACCTTGATTAAAAAATTGATTGGAGAGAGGAAAACATATAAAGAAGTGCAGAAAATGATCGGCTGCTCAGCTAAAATGATCGCAAATGCTTTAAAATGGCAACCAAAACCTGAAAGACGTGGAAGAAAGCGAAAAAACTACCATTGGAATGGATAGAAGAATAGCCAAAACGGCGCAGACTCAGCCAACAATCAGCTCCAGGAAGATGAAAGAAGGTGTGACGTTCCCTGTGAGGACTGTTACAATTAGAAGACGCCGATGTGAAGCCAAGCTATCTGCAAGAAGCCCCCGCAAAGTCCCACTGTTGGGAAAAAGACGTGTGCTGAAGAGGTTACAATCTGCCAAAGAGCACATTGACTGGCCTAAAGAGAAATGGCGCAACATTTTGTGGACTGATGAAAGTAAGATGTTCTTTTTGGGTCTAGTGGGCGGAGACAGTTTGTCAGACGACCCCCAAACACTGAATTCAAGCCACAGTACACTGTGAAGACAGTGAAGCATGGTGGTGCAAGCATCATGATATGGGGATGTTTCTCATACTACGGTGTTGGGCCTATTTATCGCATACCAGGGATCATGGATCAGTTTGAATCCATCAGAATACTTGAAGAGGTCATGCTGCCTTATGCTGAAGAGGAAATGCCCTTGAAATGGGTGTTCCAACAAGACAACGACCCCAAACACACCAGTAAACGTGCAACATCTTGGTTCCAGACCAACAAGATGGACATTATGGAGTGGCCAGCCCAATCCCCGGATCTTCATCCAATAGAAAACTTGTGAGGTTTCTGAGGCAAAACCAAGAAATAGAGAAGAACTGTGGAATGTGGTCCAATCATCCTGGGCTGGAATACCTGATCACAGGGGCCAGAAGTTGGGTGACTCCATGCAACACAGATGTACAGCAGTTCTCAGAAACAGTGCGACTACAACCAAATATTC